TAACTTGAATCGGCTTGCTTTCAAAGCGCGTTTTAAAAAACCCTTTTTTCTCTGCTGTCGCTGTTGTTGTGCTGCTGCTGATGTCAGCGACGCGCTTTAATCGGGCGCGCTTTAGTGGACCGTGGTTTTGTCGTGCCACGGTTTTTTTGCACTCCAGGGGCTTAAGGGAAGCTCATGAAGCCTCCGGAAGGCCTCCAGAGGGATGGGGGGGGGGCTCTTTTTGCCCTCCCCAGGTTCCTATAAAGCCCCTGGAGCCTGGGGAGAGCGAAAAATGGCTTTAAAAAAGGGTGAACTCAGGCCTCGCGTGCCCTGACAAATGGCTCCGTATGGCACCTGTGGCAGGTGTGCCAGAGGTTCGCCATCCCGGTGCTAGCTTGTCAGAAGCTGGGACAAGTAACGGGAGCTCATTCTGTTACGCGGCGCTAGGGATTCGAACCGCTGAACTGCCGACTTTTCTGATCGACAAGCTCAACGTCTTAGCCACTAAGCCACCACGTCCCATCAAAACCACGTTGCTACATTTCCTTCTTATTTTCTCTCTCTTAGTATTACAGCATGCTTTTCCCTGGAAATTCCTTTCCATTCCATCATTCCCAAATCCCAGGGTCCTGGGTTCTGCTGTGTTCCTATGTGGATCCTCCAATTAGCATTTCCCCCTTAAACTTGCTTTCGTTAATGTGTGAGATACTACAGATTCCCTTACAGAAGATTTTGCACCTGTGCCATATGGATGAACTCCGGCTGAGAACCCTTGTATCCTCTCCATGAGGGAAGAGTTGTCTGATGCCTCTTCAAGAATTGCTATCAGGCTGAAGATTTTACCTCACTGAGAACCTTAATAGAGAACGTCTCCAAAGATCTTTTTCAAAAGGCAACAGGGCTTCATTTTTAAACATTTTGATTCTCATCCAAGAAGCTTTTTCAGAACTGGAGAAGATTCTAAGATTAGAAGTGAAATGTTTTCATTAAAAAAAAACAAACCAAGAAAGTCCTGTTGCCTTTTGGAAAACCACATTTGGGACAACCATGACCTGGATGATTGAGAATCTCCGTAGACATTTAATAGCAATAGCACTTAAGACTTATATACCGCTTCACAGTGCTTTTACAGCCCTCTCTAAGCAGTTTACAGAGTCAGCATATGGCCCCCAATTATCTGGGTCCTCATTTTACCCAACTCGCAAGGACGGAAGGCTGAGTCAACCTGGAGCCTGGTGGGGTTTGAACTGCCGAACTGCAGCTAGCAGTCAGCTGAAGTAGCCTGCAGTACTGCACTCTAACCACTGCGCCACCTCAGCTCTCTAATTTAATACAGAACGAAGGGTCAGGAAGAGGCTTTTAGAATTGAAATCAGCTAATCTAAGCTCACGTATTCACAGGAAACCTTATCAAAACACCCAGGAGATACGAATATCTTTCCAGGTCCTGTTTGAACGCATTCATTGAAAGGGGCGCCCAGCATAATTGGTCCAACTTCGCAAGCTTTCTTACTCCTGTTTGAATGGTTTGAAGTTTCCTGGCATTTATCTGGAATCTCCTTCCTTACATTCATTCTCCCACTTAACACCCTTGAATGTAAGGGAACAAGCCCATCATGATTATTGCCAAGAGTTTTCCTTACTATAATAAGGAAGTGGAGATCTTTAGAGGTTCTTCACGTCCTCTCCTAGACATCTGATTTTTGAGAACATCAGTTAGGTGTCCCACAAGTGCTCGTTCTTCAAACTCCTTGTCCTGTAGAAGCCTTTCCCACCTTGATAACATTGATATGGTCATTTTCCAAGATGAATTCTTGTATGATATTAAGGCTCTCTCTGGCATGGATTCTCTGATGCCTCTTCAAATTTCCTCTCTCGTTGAAGCATTTCTGGCAGTGAGAACATTTGTACGGCTTCTCGCCCGTGTGAATTCGCTGGTGTTTCTTCAACGTCCCCAACCGGTTGAAGCCCTTCCCACACTGAGAACATTTATAGGGTCTTTCACCAGTGTGGGTTCTTTGATGTCTCTTCAGGATTCCTGCCAGGCTGAAACATTTCCCACACTGGGAACATTTGTATGGCCTCTCTCCAGTGTGCGTCCTTAGATGCCTCTTCAGGATTCCCGTCTCTCTGAAGCATTTCCCACACTGAGTGCATTTGTAGGTCTCCCCGGTGTGAATCCTCTGGTGCATCTTCAAACAGTTGGTGTGGCTGAAGCATTTCCCACAGTGGGAACATTTGTAGGGCCTCTCGCCGGTGTGAATCCTTTGGTGGGTCTTCAGATTTCCCGACTGGTTAAAGCACTTCCCGCACTGTAGACATTTGTACGGCTTCTC